TATAGATTAAACTACCCAGCAGCACATATGTGTACACTAAATGAGGTCCACCTTTACCAGCTGCAATATTAGTTATGCTTGCACAATAATGCACTAGTTATAATTAGGTAGTATGTAAGTCAAAGTATACTTAAGTAGAGTACTTGCAAATGTTGTAAATCTCAAGATGAAGTACGCCATCGTGTGGCGCAGCCAGCTCAAGTCAGCAAGAAGAAACAGCAGCCTCAGACAGATCCCATGGTACACATATCATTATCATGACTTATAGTTAAGTATTGATGTAGCAGTATTTACTCCAGAAAAATCCACCTGGGGTGATCTAAATGAGTTATTGTTATTGATGACATTCATTTTCACATTTTTTAGTATTTTCATCACTAAATATCTTTTTTCAAATGTTTAGTGTATAAGTCTCAGAAAAGTGTGAAAATGCATATCATTAATTTGCATCACTTCCTATTATTTGTGTGGTTAAAGTGATTCTTCGCCCACAATCTGTCTTTCGAGTACCAAACAATCTGTAGCTTTGAACGAAAGCCTGAAATGTTTTTTTTGTTTTTTAAAACATCAGCTTAGAGTTTGAGTAATTGATTGTTAGGGCTGCAAATAACATTATTTTCATTATTGATTAATGTGATTTTTTTTCTAGAATAACTGATAAATCATTTAGTCTTTCAAATCTCATTAATGATCGAAAAATCTCAATATTGATTATTACTCTGCTGCTTGAATAGTTAAAAATCTATGTATTATGTGCAACAATTTGAGAAGTATTCCCCTTATTTAACACAAATCCAATGTCCAGCATACTTGGAATTCCACCGAGGCCGCGTCCTTGGTTTGGGGGAAATTTCGAGGCTGCACATGGGTAGACTTTGCGTCCTTAAAATCCCCGCAATGCTTTGCGCACGGACCAATTTCAAAAACCCTTGCGGAGAATGTCTGAACCGACGCAGCACACATTTAAATGTAAGTATGTAGTGGCGTAGAACATGTGTTGGTAAATATATGTTCTTAGTTACATTTGTTATCACCAAAAATGTGTTCCGTGAAAGTAAAGCAAGTTCATAATTAGATAGACATCGTGAGGTATTTATTTTCGGTACAGTTTATGTTGAAACCTTAGAGAGAGTGGCACACTTGTTAGCCTGTTCCATTCTTCTTCGTTTTCCGAAGCCGTGGCTTGGAACTACGCGACTACCAAACCAGCATCCTTGAGATTGAGAAACGGCCTGAATCTGGAGGAGGAAGAGGAGAGGAGAGCTGAGGAGCTGCAGAGGAGGAAAAGGGAAGAGCAAGGGAAAGTATCTGCAAGGTAAGACAGTTATTTACCAATCTTCACTGATTTGAGTATGCTTATAGGTCGACAGGTTTTTACTGCATATGTGAAAAGTTGTGGTTAAAGTCTTTTGTGGCTCTAGAGGAAGTCTGACTCTATCACTTCTGTTTCACACGTTGAGGTTCACAAGTGGCTTCGTGAATCTGATAAACAGTTGTTGTAACTCTGCAGGTTCATCGAGGCTCTGAGAGCTCGGATGAAGGAGCGAGTGTCTCAGGAGAAGCTGGAGCCTCCTCCTCTCTGCTGCTGCGCATCATCTTTCTGGGACTCCAGAATCATAACGCTTAAAATCACAAGGGAGTACAAGTAGAAATAAAACGTTGAGTTCAAAGGTACTGCAATAAAAAAGATGAACAGGGCTAAGGTGATGCTCAGTTCTGATTGGTCATTTGGACCTTCTGCAGCAATAAGACCAAAGTCTAAGGATAGTGAGAGCTGTAAAGCTTCAATGATATAAGCTCATCGAAACCACACATTTTACTTTAATGTCATGAAGAAGCTTAATCTTAAAATAGTGTTCATATCATGTGGTATGATCCTTAATACCAATGAAAGTGAAGATATGATCAATGAATAAATGAGAGTAAAAAAGTGTCAGGAAGAAAAACAAAAAAACACTTGAGTTGATGGATAATTGATGTAGATATTAGGATTATTATTTATACATTTACTGTGATAAATGTTGAAAAATAAATATGAATGAGTTTGCTCATGTTTTGAAGAAATATTCCCAAAATGAATTGAACATACATTTAGCCATTTTGAATTTTATTGACAGAGAAAACACGATAAACAAATAAAAACTGAACAGCAGCTGTGGTTCCTAACAACTCACATTGAGAGAGTATCTTTACTCCAACTGGATGATATGAACACAGAGAGACAGACGTGTTGGCAGAACATGTTTCCTGTTTGTGACAGAAAAATAAAACCATGTGAAACTGGTTTAGTGTCACTCAGCCTGTTGAAATGTTGAGTCCTCACTGGAGGACAAAGGCACGATCCTCTCCTTTTCTGTGGCATTTTATGAGCTTTTTAATAATTGACTAAGTGATAAAGCATAAAGGAGCAGTTTGTTTATTGAGCTGTCCCATAGACTAAGTCTGACTCCTGCAGGGGCCGGAGTTTGAAACCTGACAAAAAAAGTCTGTCTGCTGCAAGTTGCCCCCTCTCCCCTTCTTTCATTAAATAAATGCAAAAAGCAGAAATAAATGATCTTTAACATATTCCTTATTAATTATTTTATCTTTTGAGTACGTCCTCCAACGGATAAACAAGTCATAAAGATGTCAGGATAAAAGTATAAGTTGAGGGGTTTTGCAATGAAAACAATGAACGTAACAAGACACCTAAAACGTGACTGTGCTCTTCCAGACTGTTATGTTTGTGTGACTCTAAACATAAATACTGTACAGTGGGGCAAACAAGTATTTAGTCAGCCACCAATTGTGCAAGTTCTCCCACTTAAAAGATGAGAGGCCTGTAATTTTCATCCTAGGTATACCTCAACTATGAGAGACAGAATGAGAAAAAAAAATCCAGAAAATCACATTTTCTGTAAGTCTTCACAAGGTTTTCACACACTGTTGCTGGTATTTTGGCCCATTCCTCCATGCAGATCTCCTCTAGAGCAGTGATGTTTTGGGGCTGTCACTGGGCAACACGGACTTTCAACTCCCTCCAAAGATTTTCTATGGGGTTGAGATCTGGAGACTGCCTAGGCCACTCCAGGACCTTGAAATGCTTCTTACGAAGCCACTCCTTCGTTGCCCGGGGGTGTGTTTGGGGGATCATTGTCATGCTGAAAGACCCAGCCACGTTTCATCTTCAATGCCCTTGCTGATGGAAGGAGGTTGTCACTCAAAATCTCACAATACATGGCCCCATTCATTCTTTCCTTTACACGGATCAGTCGTCCTGGTCCCTTTGCAGAAAAACAGCCCCAAAGCATGATGTTTCCACCCCCATGTTTCACAGTAGTTATGGTGTTCTTTGGATGCAACTCAGCATTCTTTCTCCTCCAAACACGTCTAGTTGAGTTTTTACCAAAAAGTTCTATTTTGGTTTCATCTGACCATATGACATTCTCCCAATCCTCTTCTGGATCATCTAAATGCTCTCTAGCAAACTTCAGACGGGCCTGGACATGTACTGGCTTAAGCAGGGGGACACGTCTGGCACTGCAGGATTTGAGTCCCTGGCGGCGTAGTGTGTTACTGATGGTAGCCTTTGTTACTTTGATCCCAGCTCTCTGCAGGTCATTGACTAGGTCCCCCCGTGTGGTTTTGGGATGTTTGCTCACCGTTCTTGTGATCATTTTGACCCCACGGGGTGAGATTATGCGTGGAGCCCCAGATCGAGGGAGATTATCAGTGGTTTTGTATGTCTTCCATTTTCTAATAATTGCTCCCACAGTTGATTTCTTCACACCAAGCTGCTTACCTATTGCAGATTCAGTCTTCCCAGCCTGGTGCACGTCTACAATTTTGTTTCTGGTGTCCTTTGACAGCTCTTTGGTCTTGGCCATAGTGGAGTTTGGAGTGTGACTGTTTGAGGTTGTGGACAGGTGTATTTTATACTGATAACAAGTTCAAACAGGTGCCATTAATACAGTTAACGAGTGGAGGACAGAGGAGGCTCTTAAAGAAGAAGGTTTGGTTACAGGTTTGTGAGAGCCAGAAATCTTGTTTGTTTGTAGGTGACCAAATACTTATTTTACCGAGGAATTTACCAATGAATTCATTAAAAATCCTACAATGTGATTTCCTGGATTCTTTCCCCCCATTCTGTCTCTCATAGTTGAAGTGTACCTAGGATGAAAATTACAGGCCTCATCTTTTTAAGTGGGAGAACTTGCACAATTGGTGGCTGACTAAATACTTTTTTGCCCCACTGTATACTCCAACCCTTATGAAGAATCATAATGCTTAAAATCACAAGGGAGTAGGAATAAAACGTTGAGTTCAAAGGTACTGCAATAAAAAAGATGAACAGGCCTAAGATGAATGCTCAATTCTGATTGGTCATTTGGACCAAAGTCTAAAGATAGTGAGAGCTGTAAAGCTTCAATTAATAAAAGCTCATCGAAACACACATTTGACTTTAATGTCATGAAGGTGCTTAATTCAATTCAATCTTTATTTCAGACTCATGGTCCATATCACATACAAAATGACAAAATACACAACAATAAATAAGATTAAAAAGCCAAACAAAATGAAAAACATGAAATCAGTCCAATGACAGCTCGCCACACATGCTCACTGTCTGTAGAGGCTGTTGCGCTAATGTCTCCAAATCATGGAAGAGAACCGAGTAGAACTCTTCACAGGTTTAACTAAAATCGAGATAACATGATTGTCAGTCTGCTAGGCGACACATGAATTTGTACATTACTTTTCTTAAAAGGGCTTGACAGGTCGGTACCCCCAAGTTAACAAACAGCTGGCTGCCACTGTGCCATCTTGGTACCCTCAGCAGCAACCGTAAAGCATCATTGTATGCAACTTTTAGTTTGTGTATCCTTCTAGCCTTGTAGTTACTCCACAGGTGAGCCGTGTACAATGGTGTACAGAAAGCTTTAAAAAGTGATACCTTGACATCTACAGAGCACTTTGTAGATGAATATGTTTGCCTGGGCATACCGTTTGCAGCGTTGTCTATGGATGTCTTTGTCATCTGTGAGACCATCAGAGATATAATGACCAAGGTACTTAATCTCACTGCACACAAGAAGAATGTTGCTACTGAGATACAATTAGGAAAACCTTTTTATCCTCTTCGCAC